CTACTGAGGAAGACCAGAGTGACTGGTGGAAAGCTCTAGGTGAGAGAACTTCTTTGTGTTGGATCTAAAGTTTTAACTACATTTATAAACATATAAGGTCACAGCAAGTGAAAACATATGATATTGAAACTGTTGAGATTTGCATGAGGGAGCTGCATATTACTAACACAATGTGCTTGTGAAGCAAGATAACAGAACTACAAGGTATAACTGAGAACCAAATCCCCCACCCCCACCAAGCACACAGTACAACATTAATGATAACCTTTATCTTAGATGTATGGACAATAATGATCAGACTTAGTTTCAGCAGAAGTGTTTTTAATTTGCAGGGCCCCGATTCCCAGTTGGAGTTGTTCAGGGTCTGCACAGAAGAGGAAATTCAGACCAGACTCAAGAAAAAACAAAAGAAACTCAGAAAAAAGCTCAAGTAAGTTTGGAATTATTATATTGTTAAGGAGTTTTAGGGAAAACACTTGATTGTAAGAGTCAGATTATAAGAAAAAAGAACACATTGGTTTTAAGGGTGTCCTGCATGTATGTGATGCATGTGATATTTGACCACAGGCACAGAAACTTTCAGCCACCGTCATATTTCTATAGTGTCTGACTTCATAAAAATTACCTGACTGTGTTTTTCCCCTTAAGTCAGGAAGACAAGCTGCTCCCTCAGGTGTTTCCAGGTGTTAAGGACTGTAACACTTACCTGTGTTTCTCCCCAGGACCCAGGCAGGTGACCCAGGTGAGGACGTCCCTCAGGTGTGTCGGACCCTGTAACACTTACCTGTGACACTTACCTGTGACTTGTTACCTGTGTTTTTCCCCAGGACCCAGGCAGGTGACCCAGGTGAGGACGCCCCTCAGGTGTGTCAGAGTCTGTAACACTTACCTGTGACACTTACCTGTGACTTGTTACCTGTGTTTTTCCCAGGACCCAGGAAGCTGACCCAGGTGAGGACGCCCTCAGGTGTGTCAGAGTCTGGAAGACGAGATCCAGCCGCTCTGCTGTCTCACCGCGGCTGGCAAGGTCAGGTCATGTGACCTCCTGCTGGACAGCAACGGACAGCTCAAGGTTAGAACCATATAAGGGCAATGGACAACTCAAGGTTAGAATCAGGGTAAAGGACAGCTGAAGGTTAGAACCATATAAGGGCAGTGGACAGCTGAAGGTTAGAACCATATAAGGGCAGTGGACAGCTCAAGGTCAGAAATTGTAGAATGTTACACTATCTGGACTGGACTGTATTTACCACTTCTAAGCTAGCCTATGTACATGTACTAGACACAGACCACTAGACCAAATATCGTCAAGTCAATTCTTATATTAGTGTACTTTACTATTGTTATTGTTTTGATCATTGAACTAGTATAGAAATTTTGGACGTGTAAAATTTTTTAATCCTTTCTATGTTCAGGCCTTCCTTGTTCTCCATGACAATGCCATGGAAACCATCACCGTGCCGACCAATGAGAAGCGTCCCGAGCCGAGCGTGAAAGCGAGGCTGCTGTTGCCGGGACACCGGAGTGACGTTCGGACGGCCGCCTTCAGCAGCGACAACATCGCCATGGTTACCGGCGCAACGGAGTCCGTCAAGATCTGGAACAGGTGAAACTTTCCTGAAATCGAACTGAATGTTTTGCAAAATCCCACAAGACTTTGTATGCTGTAATTCTCTTTATGCTCACGGTAGCAAAAGTTCACGGTCTGAGAAAAATGGACATGTTCACGGAACTATATGTTCACTATGGCGACAGGTGCAGGTAAAAGATAGTCCAGGAATTATTTGCTAACTGTAATGATAAGTTCACGGCAGAGATTCTGAAGTGACAGTGAAAACAGTGAACATAACAGGAGCGTGAAAAAAAATCAGGAATTTACAGTATAACAAAATCACAACTGTATACCCTATACATGTACGTTAATGTTGTACTTGTATCCCTCCCAGGTCCACCCAGCAGTGCATCCGAACCCTGACCTCTGGCTACGCTCTCTGTTCAACCTTTGCCCCTGGAGACCAACAGGTCATCATAGGGACAAAGGTCAGAGGTCAAACCAGATATTGTCAAATGTCCTCGAGACACTGATTGAAATTTAACTTTAATATCATTACTAGTTACTGTAGTACATGTAGTAGTTACTACCAGTAATCTGTTTTTTGCCATACTTGTAACCCTTACATGTACAACCACTGGATGTTTTTCTGCCTTTGTGACTAAATGAAACACAGTTTTATGTCTCTATTTCAGGCAGGGAAGCTGGAAATATTTGACATTGGTTCTGGCAGCCTGCTGCAGTCTGTGGAGGCTCACCAGGGGGCGCTGTGGTCCATAGCCGTGTCGCCAGACAAGGTGAGAAAATTCCCCTTCTGTGAGTTCCTTGGAAAATGCATTTCGCTAACACACAAATCAATAGATGGCTAGAACTCCATGGGTTCTGACACAAACTTCTATCAATTGATTGTGTGTTAGCAAACACATTTAAGTTAGGCAGCACATGTACTGTGCCTGCGCAAACCCCCCCCCCTACAGATGGGATGTCAAACCTAATATATACTATTTACTAACTAAAGTTGATTACTTGTTTACTCCAGAGAGGCCTTGTGTCAGAAGGTGCAGATGAATGAGTTGTTGTTATTTACTGTTTACTAAGTTGTTTTATTGTTTACCAAGTTGTTTATTATATGATGTTTACTAAGTTTATTGTTTACTGCAGAGAGGCCTTGTGTCGGGAGGTGCAGACAAGCTGGTGAAGTTTTGGGATTTTGAGCTCATCAACGATGAGAAGTTTTCCTCCACAAGGTGGGTTCTGTTCATTTTAACATTTCCTGCAGTTTTAGGGTGTCTCTATGGTAGAAGATATTCCTGCCTCCCAGTAAGACATGTTTTTTGTCTGCTCTCAGTCATCTTTCATGTTTTCTCCCGTTAACACACATTTTTAGACCGATCATGTTTCCTCCCAGTAAGTTATGTCTCTATGTTCATGTTTCCTCCCAGTAAGAAATCTTCATGTTCATATTTCCTCCCAGTAAACGGCTGAGCGTCAGCCACGCCCGCTCGCTACAGTGTGACGAGGATGTTCTAGGAGTCAAGTATAGCCCGGATCACAGGCTTCTGGCTGTGGCCCTCCTGGACAACACTGTCAAAGTCTTCTATGCAGACACACTGAAGGTTCGTATAGCCTGGAAAACAGGCGTCTAGACAACACTTTTAGAGTCTTAAGTACAGACACTCAGACTGAATAACTACTAGTAGAAGAATTCTATTTATTTGAAGAAAGTCATTTTTAATCACTTTAGATACTTCATAAACTTTTAGATACTGGATCTGATTCAGTAAATCCACTTATTTTCCAGTGTGAAATATAATCTGGTTTGGTGTCATATTTGGTGTCATATATGTGAAGTTTATTGTAAACAGAACCTTTCTAAAGCATTCCAAGTTGTTGCCTTATGCAATTTATTTTCTCCTCTGCAGTTTTTCCTGTCACTTTATGGCCACAAGCTGCCTGTTTTAGCCATGGATATTTCCACGGTAAGTCCCTGTATTACACGGCTAACTGTCAACTTTTATTTAGGGCTGTGTAAAGTAGTATATTTCTGTAAAATGTTGTACAGTTATAATTTGCTGTTATATATGCTCCATGTTTGTGTTTCTCCGTATGTAGGACGGAACCCTTCTGGTTACCGGCTCTGCAATGTTCCATGCACATGTAGTATTGCTGTAATTTGTAATATAATTTTTGTGTTTCTGCATGGGAAGGATGGAACCCTGCTGGTTACCGGCTCTGTAATGTCATGTAGTTTGTTGGCATCCTTCCGTCTCGGGAGACGATGGAGTATGCGCCGTGTCATGTAGTATTGCTGTAATATTCCATGTCTGTAATGTTTCATGTACATGTAATATTGCTGTTGTAATTTGTAATAGAGTAATGTTTGTGTTTGTGTTTGTGCATGGAAAGGATGGAACCCTGCTGGTTACCGGCTCTGCAGACAGAAACATCAAACTCTGGGGTCTGGACTTCGGCGACTGCCACAAGTCTATATTTGCTCATGATGACAGGTGAGGGTGTGCATGGGGGCTGCCACAAGTCTATTTGCTCATGATAGGTGAGGGTGTGCATGGGGGACTGCCACAAGTCTATATTTGCTCATGATGACAGGTGAGGGTGTGCATGGGGGACTGCCACAAGTCTATATTTGCTCATGATGACAGGTGAGGGTGTGCATGGGGGGCTGCCACAAGTCTATATTTGCTCATGATGACAGCCGAGGCTGTACATGGGGGGCTGCCACAAGTCTATATTTGCTCATGATGACAGCCGAGGCTGTACATGGGGGGATGCCACAAGTCTATATTTGCTCATGATGACAGGTGAGGGTGTGCATGGGGGGCTGCCACAAGCTCGCCTCTGCTGGTGATGATGAGATTTAATAATATGTGCTCTCTCCCCAGAGAGATAGAGAGAGAGAGAGAGAAAGACAGAGTGAGAGAACGTTTAGTGTCATTTCCCCCAGTATCATGTGTGTGCAGTTCCTGCCCAGGAGAGAGAGAGAGTAAGAGAGAGAGAGAGAGAGAGAGAAAGATTAAATGTTACATTGTTGTCTGTCCCCAGCGTCATGTGTGTGCAGTTCCTGCCCAAGCGAGAGTGTGTGATAGAGAGAGGGAGAGAAAGACAGAATGAGAGAAAGACAGAATGAGAGAGAGAGAGATTAAGGTTTGTTGTGTGCTTCCCCCAGCGTCATGTGTGTGCAGTTCCTGCCCAGGACACAGAGAGAGAGAGAGAGAGAGAGTGGGAGAGACAGACAGAGAGAGATAGTGACAGAAAGAGTTTAATGTTAGTCTATGTTCTCCCCCCAGTATCATGTGTGTTCAGTTCCTGCCGAGGACTCACATGTTCTTCAGTGCCGGGAAGGACGGGAGGGTCAAACAGTGGGACGCCGACAACTTCCAGCACATCCTCACTCTGGAGGGTCACCAGGGGGAGGTCTGGTGCATGGCCGTCAGCCCTAATGGGGACTATGTGGTACGTACACGCTTCCCCATACCCCATACACACTCCCACACACAAGGTCACCAGGGGGAGGTCTGGTGCATGGCCGTCAGTCCTAACGTGGACTATGTGGTACGTAGTACACACTCTCCCCCATACCCCATACACACTCACACACACACACACGCACACATGTATGCACACACGCACAAACACACAAACAGATACACACACAAACACACACACAAAAACACACTCACACACGCACTCACACACACGCACACATGCACACACACACACACACACACACGCACTCACACACACACACACACACGCACACACACACATTCATAGTCACACTTACATACACACACACACACATGCACACACACACACACACACATTTATGCACACACGCACAAAAACACACACATTCAGACACATAAAACACTCATGCACACTGGAGCTCACACCCCGTCCTTACAGCAAGCTGCTACATGTACTTGTATGTTGTTGAGGAGTGCTGTGTTTTATGTTGATTTGTTTGTTTGGTTTCTCTGCAGACTTACAGCAGCTGCTGTGATGTTGAAGATGGCTGTCATGTTGATGTTTGTTTGTTTGTTTACAGGTGACAGGTTCCCACGACAAGTCGCTCCGTCTGTGGCAGCGGACCCAGGAGCCGCTGATTCTGGAGGAGGAGAGAGAGAGCGAGAGAGAGAAGGAGTTTTGAGCAGACTCTGGCTGCCGGGGAGCTTCCTGCTGTGAGTTATTATTATCATGATTATTATTATATAGTCAGGACAGTTTTTTGTGCTAGCAACACAAGTCCTGCTGTGAGTTATTACTATTATATAGTCAGGACAGTTTTCTGTGGTAGTAACACAAGTCCTGCTGTGAGTTATTATAAGTCAGGACAGTTTTCTGTACATGTACCTGTCAGAGAGAGAGAGAGAGAGAAGGAGTTTGAGCAGACTCTAGCTGCGGGAGAGCTACCTGCTGTGAGTTATTATTTTTGTGAGTCATTATAAGTCAGGACAGTTTGCTGTACCTGTACATGTGAGAGAGCGAGAGAGAGGAGTTTGAGCAGACTCTGGCTGCCAGCGAGCTCCTTTCTGTGCGAGTAACAAGTCCTGGTTATTTGGTTGTACATTACTGGCACAAGTCTCTGAACTGAGTAAATGTGGCAGAAGTACATTGTAGCATGTAACTTTGGTAACCCTCTTCCTGCCTTTGTGCTGGTATTACTTGTGACCATGATTATACATATTTGTTCACCATAACCATTTGTTTATGATACAAGTGTGAATGTGCTGTTTGTTTTCCCCAGGTTGCCGGAGAGACATCAGGGGAAGCCGGGATGGCGGGAAAGAAGAGCATAGAAACTGTCAAGGCTGTAAGTAAAGTGCTGGTCCTATACTCTAACCCTAACCCATCAGGCATACAACTAGAACTAGCCACGGTTCTGGGTACAAAACTAGAACTTAAGGCACAGTTCTGGGTACAAAAGTCTGTAAGCCCTGCTCCTGGATTGTAGAAAATGTCAAGGCTGCAAGTAAAGTGCTTTGTTTCTGATCCTGTATTTACATGTGATTCTAGCCCATTCAGGCAGGGAACTACATGTAGAACTAGCCACAGTTCTGGGTACAAAAGTCGTTTTGCCTTGATCTGCCTTGTAGAGAATGTGCCTGTCTCAGAGTTCAGTGTTCCACTGCTCTACATGTCCTAAAGTCTTTTTGTACGGTGTTGAGTTTGAGCAGTTCGAAATCTTGTTTTTGTTGTTTCTGTTTCCAGGCAGAGAAAGTTATGGAAGCTGTGGAGATTTATAAGGAAGAGACGGGAAAAATGGAGGAGCACAGAAGGGAGTGTGACGCTCTGGGGAAACAGGTCAGGTTCACTAACACACACTCACACACTCACACACACACTCACACACACGCACATACACTCACTCACACACACTCACACACAGACGCACTGTGTATTTCTCACAGAATGGAGTGTGACGCTCTGGGGAAACAGGTCAGGTTCTGGGGACATTTTCAGGCTCATGTATCATGCATGCATGTACAGAAGTTTGCATTTGTTTCTGTATTATATATTAAAGTTAAATTACATTATGTGGATCTGTATGGCTCTTTGGCGTAACACACCAGCTCCTGTTGTCGGCAAGAAATATTCTTAAGTTCTTCTAAAGTCAAGAATTCTACAGCACATACATGTAAAATAAAGTCCCTGTATTTATCTTAATAAAATAATTTTCTGTGCAGGTGCCACCCCCACCCCCACACCCCATGCTCCTGGCCTATGGAAATGCAACAGTAAGTACATGTAACGTTAGTTCTGTTTGTTGATGTCCTTAGACTTGTTTCTGCTGCTTAACACTTGGAACAAATTGTGTGAAAACTGATTAACAGTTTCACAGTGTATGGATACATATATATAATTGCTGCAGTTTAACAGTGAATGGAGAGTTGCTCTAGTGTTGGTACTGTACTGTACTGTACTGTACTGTAATACTGCTAATATTTTTTTTTTTTACTTTGTTGCGTTTTCCAGCCGCTGAGGTTTGTGTTGGAAGTTATCAAGAAAGTCCGATCGAGGTAAGTACCTACATGTTTACTACAGCATGGATTGGGTTCCTTTGTTCTGCTAAAAGTCCTTACATGTAGTTTTGATTGGTTACTTTTGCCCTTTGCCCCACAGTGAACTTGAGGAGGCCCTGCTGGTCCTGCCCTTCTGATTGGTTACCTTTACCCTTTGCCCTTAGTGAACTTGAGGAGGCCCTGCTGGTCCTGCCCTTCTCGTATGTCGTCGACCTTCTCCAACTGCTGAACAGCTTCCTGACGGAAGGGTGGGAGGTCGAGCTCACCTGCAGATGCCTCTTCTTCTTACTCAGGTAAATAAGATTTACTCACGGACAGGTGAGGCTTCTTATTTTTTTTTTACTCAGGTGAGATTTTCTTACACACTTGAGGTTTTTTTGTTAGGTTTTGTATACTAAGGTGAGATATCGGATTTCTTACTCAGATCAGATTTGTTTGTTTCTAAGGATTGTTTGTGTGTTTGTAAGGATTGTTTGTTTGTTTATTTGTAAGGATTGTTGTTGAGAAATGTTTGTTTTCCCAGGATCCACCAGGGTGCGGTGACGTCTAACCAGGTCCTGCTGCCCGTTCTGGACAACCTGAGAAAAAACACTCAGGACAGAGTCACGCAGATCAGGGTAGGTCAACTTACTAACTAACTAACTAACCACACTCAGGACAGAGTACAACAGATCAGGGTAGGTCAACTTACTAACTAACTAACTAACCACACCCAGGACAGAGTACAGCAGATCAGGGTAGGTCAACTTACTAACTAACTAACTACACCCAGGACAGAGTACAACAGATCAGGGTAGGTTAACGCACTCACTCACTAACTAACCACACTCAAGACAGAGTCACGCAGATCAGGGTAGGTTAACTTACTAACTAACTAACTCACTAACTAACTGCACCCAAGACAGAGTAACGCAGATCAGGGTCAGTAGAATGTCAACTCATACGCATCATAAATTCCTTTTTATTGCTTGTAAATTGTTTCGCCAGTCACCAATGTTTTTGGTCATTTTGTTACAAATGTAGTTTCTTCCAAGACACTTGGGTTTAATTTGGGCTGCAATGTTTGTTTGTTTGTTTGTTTTTAGGACACTGTTGGGTTTAACCTGGCCGGTCTCCAGTTTCTCCAGAGAGATTTGGAGGCTCGTGATGACGTCACGTTTTTTGCCGACGCCACAGAAAGATTCCAGGAACGGAAGAGGAAGAAAAAGAGAAAGGAGCGAGCAGTTTTAGCCATTAGAACATAGACAAGTACAAGTATCAGATGCCCTATGAGGCCAAATGCAAAGCAATGTTTTGTTTGCTTATAATGGATCAAAGAAAACAGTACACACAGAAACAGGTCATTGACAAATACAAACATTTATTAATATTTGTACCTCTATCAATGATATAAAGCTTACTTCAACTTTTGCAAAGAAAATTTTTCATGGTGACTTTTGCTGTTTCACAGGTCATGTGATCAATGAGCAATAACATCATTATTAGCTACTAGGTCATTAGCTAGTAACATTCCTCATACTCACTTCTATCATTGTTCCGTCATTGTTATTTTCAATCAACATGATATTACCAATATCAGATTTTGCTGTTACTTACATACTGTTTTATGTGTAACAGGAATCAGTACCACAAGGTAACATGCATGCTGTTCTTGGAACGACCTAATTGTTACCTGAACACAGTTGTGTATATCACCTACACACCCCATGCTGTTTTTTTATTTGAATGACAACATATATATTAATATATATACAGTTACACACAGCTTAGCTTCCATATGGCTTGCTGACAGGAGCGTCACATTTTTTAACTTTGCGTAGGAGCCTGTCCCCAGGCTTATTTAAGGCCAGCACATTTTCTTCTTAAAGAAGAAGTCAGCAAGGTAATAGAAAACAACCCTTACTTACTTTTACTCTGCGAGAACAAGACATATTAAATACCATCATCCAATCCAACACCAGGTCAGAAACATGTGCAAATACTCAGAAACCTGTGAGACACACAGAAATAGTGTCTGCCGGAACCACCCAGCCATTTGGAAACCTGGAGCCGCTCTAACTGTTTAGATGCTGTCCGCCTGTTTAGATGCTGTCCGCCTGTTTAGATGCTGTCCGCCTGTTTAGATGCTGTCCGCCTGTTTAGATGCTGTCCGCCTGTTTAGATGCTGTTCGCCTGTTTAGATGCTGTCCGCCTGTTGGATTTCATTCAGCTCGTTTTCAGCTTCATGCAGACTGCACCGCACGGCGGCGCCGCCAGGAGGCGCTGTGGTCTTCCACCGGCCCCGCTGCATCTTGGGAGGAGGCTCAGGGGGAGCCTCGATCTGAGACAAAAAGAGAACTTTTGAATGTTTCTTGCTCGTGCACATTTGTGTGTGTAGCCTCCACTACTTTTTGTCAGTGACTGAAACAGTGTGTGTGTCTGTGTGCATGTATGTGTGTGTGCATGTATGTGTGTGTGTATGTGTGTGCATGTATGTGTGTTACTGTGTGTATGTGTGTGTGCATGTGTATGTGTGCATGTGTATGTGTGTGTGCTGTGTGTATGTGTGTGTGCAGTACATGTGTGTTACCGTGTGTGTTTATCCCCACGCGTGCCTCTGTGTGAATGTGTGTGTATACATGTATGTGTGTGTGTATGTGTGTGCATGTATGTGTGTTTCCGTGTGTCTTTATCTCCACGTGTGCCTTTGCGTGCGGGAGTGTTAAAGTGAGGCTCACCGTTATGAACTCATCACTTGACAAGCCAGCCTCCTCCGGGATGTCCTCCCGTGCGCATGCGCGGATATCCTCCCCGTCCGGACGGTGCCGCTCCACGGTCGTGTAGGGAGGTAAGGTGGTGGCGTGCGCATGCGCCAGCCCTGCAACAAAGCAACAAATGTAAGAACAAGGAGTCTCCCTACTGGCCCCTCCAGCTGTTAACCTCTAACAGCAAGTATGCTTTGGTAGTTGTGGGCCCCAAATGGACTAACAGTACATTATAATTTTTCCGTGTTACTGTTACTGCAAGTATAACACGACTCGGGTTTTCACCATGTCCTTACTACATGTAGGTATTGATAGTCCGAGTTTACCTGAGTAGGAGAGCCCGACGTGTGCCCAATGTTTGTCGCCCCGAGGCGGCGGCCGTGGCTTCAGGGTCCCGTCTAGGGTCCCGTCCAGCTCCTGCAGTTCCAGGTCCTCCACACCGGAGTCGTTCGTACCATGGCCCAGCCTCTTCCCGGGCTTGGGCAAAGCAGACAGCGAGCGGGCCGAGGGCACATCAGCCAGAGACCGGTCCGAGGGCAACGGGGGTGGGCCTGGAACCAGCAAAAGGTAAATGTTAGCTAGTGGATACTAGCTAAAACGTCTGACCGTTTCCAAAATTATATCCAGTTACTTGAGTAACTGCCTTTTGGCGTATCTTATCTATAGTTTACCGGCTTTTCTCTTGTTCCCGCAGACCCGCCGTGTCCTGACGGCCCAGCACACACACACAGCTGCCAGCAGCACCAGAACAGCCGCGGCCCCGCACACGGACAGAACCACCAGCGGCTGGTCCGATCCTGCACGGGAGAAACATTAACAAAGCTTGTGTAAGGTATACTGTACATTATATTTACAATACTCAGCTAGATAGAAAGTTGTGTATGGTAACTGCATTGTGTGGGGAGACTCAGAAGGTCCAGCTTGTCAAAATGACGTGAGCATTTTTGGGACTGGTGTCAGCTTAAGATCAGTTAAGAAAAAAATTTCTCACCTGTAACTTCCAGGTGTGTTTCTCACCAGTAACCCCCAGGTGTGTTTCTCACCTGTAGCTTCCAGGTGTGTTTCTCACCTGTAACCCCAGGTGTGTTTCTCACCTGTAACCCCCAGGTGTGTTTCTCACCTGTAACTTCCAGGTGTGCTTCTCACCTGTAGCTTCCAGGTGTGTTTCTCACCAGTAACCCCCAGGTGTGTTTCTCACCTGTAACTTCCAGGTGTGTTTTTCACCTGTAACCCCAGGTGTGTTTCTCACCTGTAACTTCCAGGTGTGTTTCTCACCTGTAATTTCCAGGTGTGTTTCTCACCTGTAACTTCCAGGTGTGTTTCTCACCAGTAACCCCCAGGTGTGCTTCTCACCTGTAACTTCCAGGTGTGTTTCTCACCTGTAACCCCCAGATGTGTTTCTCACCTGTAACCCTTAGGTGTGTTTCTCACCTGTAGCCCTTAGTTGTGTTTCTCACCTGTAACTTGCAGTTGTGTTTCTCACCTGTAACCCCAGGTGTACAAGTGTTTCTCACCTGCAACCCCAGGTGTACAAGTGTTTCTCACCTGCAACCCCAGGTGTGCTTCTCACCTGTAACTTCCAGGTGAATCTCTCTCCGGGCCTCCCCGAACATGTTGGCAGCCTGACAGATGTACGTCCCTTCCTGAGATTTCCCGACATCCTTCAGGAGGAGGGTGCTGGACGTCCCGTCATCCACCTGGCGGCGGTTTCAAACAGTTCTACACGTTAATGACGTCACAGGTGCTCTCAGCTGAGAGTTATCGGGCAAGGCAAAGCAAAAACGCGGTTCCTTTGGAAAGTAGAATAACATCTATCTTCCATACGCATTCTCAGTAAATGGGAATACTTTCTTTTTTCTTACATGAATCACAGTGTAAGGACCGTCTACTGATTATATTTATGACATAAGGACTGACAATATACGATACTGATCGCAAGTGGCTAGATACCAAATACGGCATAATAAGCATGAATGACGTCAAACCGGCTTCTCGATGATTGACAGCCCCGCGTCGGTTGCCATGAGAACGTTCTCTGCGCCTTGCTTGTTCCGCCATGACCACGTGACCCTGCCGGGCAGCGGGTCCCCGAGAATCTCGCAGTGAAGTCTCGCGAGAGTTCCCTGGGCGGCTGCAGCCGACGCGTCCGTCTGTATCGATGGCTTCCCTGATGAGAGAGAAGTTATCAGATTGTTTCATAACTCGGCAGTCCTAATTACAGGCCTTTCACGTAACTGTGGCGCCCAGATGGTGGTTTATTATGGAAAATGCACCCTGGTCTCTTTTTGCGTCCAAGGTCATAGTCACTAATTTTTAAGATGATTATAAGGGCAGACACAATTAAGGTAAAAGCCAGTTTGACTTAGACAGATCACCAGAAAGGCGAAAGGTTAATTCAGGACAACATTTCACCGACCTACGACGTCCACGTAGACGTCCTTGGTGACTTGCTGGAAGCCGTCGCTGGCAGCCACGCATTGATACGTGCCCTGCACGTCGTAACGAACCCGATGGAAGCGGAGTGGGTTGTCCCAGTACAGACTTGTATCCTTCCGCCGCCAGCGGATGTGAGGTTTGGGGTTCCCGTCGGCGAGACACCGCAGGGACTGATCATCCTGGCCGTACAGCATCGTCACCTGGTCCCCCATGGTAGCCTCTATCACAGGAGGGTCTGTCAGGGGGACACAACAACATTTCATATCTATCCTGGCCGTACAGCATCGTCACCTGGTCCCCCATGGTAGCCTCTATCACAGGAGGGTCTGTCAGGGGGACACAACAACATTTCATATCTATCCTGGCCGTACAACATCGTCACCTGGTCCCCCATGGTAGCCTCTATCACAGGAGGGTCTGTCAGGGGGACACAACAACATTTCATATCTATCCTGGCCGTACAGCATCGTCACCTGGTCCCCCATGGTAGCCTCTATCACAGGAGGGTCTGCCAGTCGGTCTGATAAAGTATTTTTAGCTGTCAGAAAGAACAAAACAGCGGATTCTGGTCATCTACAGCTTGATGAGCTACTTTGGTTACTTACAGTAAACCTGCATGGTTACTCACAGTAAACCTGCATGGTTACTCACAGTAAACCTGCATGGTTACTCACAGTAAACCTGCATAGTTACAGAACCGAGTCCCACAGGTCGGACCCCATTATCCGCCTCACAATGGTACAGTCCGCCGTCCTTTCGGGTCACTTTCGGAAGCTGCAACACGTGGTCCCTGTCACGTGACAAATAGACATAATGGCCAAGTATTAGAAGCCGTAGAACCCATAAATATAAAATATTTCTTTACAAAACGGAAGTTCTAAAAGTCGGAACCAGGCCTGTATGCATGCTCATGCATATTTATTGCGAAAAATGCGTTTATTATTGAACGGGGGTTCATCTTACCGGATAATGTTTAGTGATGGAAGAACTTCTCCGACTTTCCGCCATGTTACCGTGGCCTTGGGGTTGCTGTCCACCATACAGCTGAGGCTGGCCGGCTCGCCCTCTCTCACATGGACGGACGGACTGGGCACCGACACCGCCGGCGGGTCTGTGGAAGTAACAATGCTGTTAGTTGTACAATATAAGGTAATATAATATACCATAAGGTAATATGGCCCTTGCGTAGCCGCCAGCAAACATCCAAACACAGTTGTATCCAGAAGTGTGCTTTATCAAGAACCATGATCCGGTACGATTCTGGACAGTCCGCGCGCATCCAGAACCGTGCCTGGGCCAAATCTACTTGCTGGGGTACGCAGAGATAATCCAGAACCGTGCCAGATCCTAACCCTAACCTATTCTGGCATGGAACTAGACAGGCATGGTTCTGGATACGATACAAACTCACATTTGACCCTGAGTATCCTGGAGGAGGCTTTTGGCCTGGCGAGTTGAGGGAAGCCCTGGTCGGCCCGGCAGGTGAAGTTGGCGCCGTGATCCCATTTCGTCACCCGCGCCAAGAACAGCTCCAGGCTCTGGGCTTCGCCGCTGGAAACTCCTGAAGATCTGCAAACAGATCGAGCACCGATCAAGTTTTCTGTGTCTGTATAGTCTGTATTTCATAGTAGTACTCCCAATTCTGAGACTGAACCGCCAAAAGGCTAAATCAGTAAGTCCCGATAGCATAAAACCTGAATCGTGCCGTTTGAAAACTTACTGGAAAGGTTCCGTCCCGTTGAGCCAGGTGAGTCGCGGTGAGGGGTGCGCACCTGACGCTCGGCAGGTGAGAGACAGCTGATCACCTGACGTCAAACTCAGCTCGCCACCTGATATCTGTGGAGGGTTCGGCATCGGGACTGGGGGGAAATAGAGAAAGGCATGTAGGAATGTCGGCTATCCGTATAATGTAGGACATCCCTACACATTACTGGTTGTTACCTTCGCCCAAGAAGGTTATGTTTTCGGTAGCGTAAGTGTGTGTGAACCTCCGCCTGTCCGTCGATAACTCGAGAAGTCTTACATGTATCAGATGTCTTGAAGTCTTAATATTTGGTAAGTCGGTAGATCTATGATCTGGACATCCTGCGGTCACGAGTTTTTGATACAATTTTGGCTCCGGCCCCCAGCCTCTCGTTTGAAATGATTTGCGGCCAAAACGTACAATTTTGGTTCGAAATGCCAGCCATTTTACTCACCAACAACAGTTAAGATGGCGTCTGCAGCCGCCATCGGGTCCGTGTAGCAGCTGTATTTCCCGTCATCCTCCAGTTTGATGTCCCGGATCTCCAGGTTGAACTCGCCCCGTGACGTGTCCCCCACGACCCGATGTCGGGTGTAGACCGGCAACACATTTGTGCCATATGATATCACTCTTTGATTCGGTGGGCCATCCCATATGACCATGTCCTTGGGACCCATTTTATCAAAAGCGCACCTCAGGACCGCGGTTTGCCCGTGCAGAACGGCTGTGGACTGGGGCCGGACACGGTAGGAAGCTCCGCTAGCTGTGGACATAAGAACAAAAGTCCATCATAGTCCCACCCATACTCCTCTCCAACAGTAACTTGACACATTAGCTAACTTTCTTTAGCTTCCTCTTTATTGCTCGTAACGATGCTACCTGGGTGATAATAAACAGGAAAACCAATTTACTATACATTTTCCAAGTCTAGGTTAACATGTTACAAGCACAACGATGTTCCTGAACACGTAAGGCAGGAGCTTCTGTAACTTCAGGTTACCTTCCGGACTGCCTGTAACATGTTACAGACGGGGGTAACATCTCATCAAGCATGCCGCGCACGTGCCGTGTACAGAGGCTTAACCTGCCTGACATCCGACTCACATGTGAGTACAGAAGTACAGGGACACTCTGCATTCAGATCAGCCTCTCTGGCAGCTGTCAGCGACACATGCAGATTGCCCTATTCGGCAACTTACACCGTCACTCTGCATGCACATCTGCCTCTCTGGCTTTAACAGGGACTGTTGCACATTGGAATTACCTGTATTTAACGTGCAATAACGTAGATACAATCCTGCAATTAGATTCTAATAACCCACTCATCAAACTCGACTCATTTTGATTTTAGATTTACATGTACAGTTCGCCACTTCAGGCAAAACTCTGTTCTCTCCCATCCCCCGTCAATTTTAATTTTATCTGGGGTTCAATAAAATAACCCAGCCGATTCCAGCCCGGCAGCAGCAATGAAAGGCGCGACCTTTGTTCCACAGAAGCTGTACTGTGTATGTGATGTGGTTTTGATAGAACGAGGAACTGACAAGCCGGTGACGTATGACACTCAGCGTCCCACGCGGGTCAGTGAACACGCTCAGCATTATTATGGGTTCACCACACCACGAAGTGGTGTGGTGAAACCATATTGCTTTTTCTGGTGTTTCTTCTCCTTCTCCTCCTTCTCCTCCTTCTTCTTCTCCTGCCATTTTTTAAATGGATTCAGCTTCTTCATTTTAGGGCCTAAGGTCCTGAAATTTGGTATGGAGGTACAGTGGGCAAATACCCCTAGGCGTTTTTAAAATTTTTGTGATACAGGCTTTTAGAATGGTTTTATTTGAGTTTTTTGGCTGTGTTATAGCAAATGTATTACTGTGTTAGTGTGCCATGTTTACCACGTTTGGGTATGAGTCATCACAATGGAATGCAGGGCATCAACCAATAGGCATGCAGCTTTCCTGTATTCTTCTTGCTGATTGGCTGTTGGGATTTAACTTGATTAACAACTGCACAGAGCATTTCCACCTGCACAGAGCATTTCTTGCTGATTGGCTGTTGGGATTTAACTTGATTAACACCTGCACAGAGCATTTCCATACTGACAGTATGTCTGTATTCAAGTGTTTTGGTAGGTATTTCAAGCTTTCCTGCTCCAGCATTGGAATGCGGGGCATGAACGTTATTTTATTTGAAAATCAACAGTTTGCATTATGCAATTAAAAATCCTAACCAATAAAGTAGGGAATAGCTATCCAACTGTTGTTTTAGTCGTATGTTAGTTCATATTATAGTTATATCACTGTAAATCATTGTTTTCCCTTGTGTTTCTCATTCTTTCCCTGCCATGTCGTAAAATGTGGTGAACCCATCGCTGTATTTGCTCCAAAGCAAATATTGGCCTTTCTAGTTAACTGTGTATCACCGGGTGCATCTGCGGTACATGAAGTGGCAGTAAAGGTACATCTGCGATATATTGCTGTGGCAGTATAAGGGTGCAGTCTTGGGATGGGACTGTTTAGGGAATTCTCCTTGCTTTTACGCCAGCAGATAAGGATCCATTCCGCGCGCGGAATCTCCCGGCGGGCATTGCGTCATCCCTTTCCATCGCCGCGACAGATCCGCTGATAGAGATAAAGGCGGCGGTCTGAATATCACTTTCACTTTCCGGATTGTCCCGGGATTTTCTCCTCCTTACATCAGATCAGGCAAGGCGCGTTTTTCAGTTGGTTACGTTTATTCTCAGTCAGCGGCAGCAAAATACGATTATCAGTAAGGCTGCCAAGGAAGAATATATAACTCTAGTTTTACACAGTTGTAAGATCTGCCCGTATTCAGCATAGTATATCATCAGTCCACATTCCATAAAGGACACCATTATAGTCAGTCTTTAAGCTTCTTTTCTGTGTGATTTAATGAAACTGGGCGGAATGACATCAGATCGGGTCTGTGCCGCCGCCTGGGACCGGGTTACAGATAAACATGTGTCCATTAAGTTTGTCCCGATCCCCTCAGCGCGACGTCCTTTCACAATGACAAGCTTTCACGGTCTCCTGTGGATTTTAACCACCGAGGAGCTAAACTTGGTAAGGAATCATCAGGACTGACGAGATAAACTTTGTGAGTTTTGATGAATTATCAAAACTGAGGGGCAAAACTTTGTGATTTCTACTCTTTCCTGGTAGAGGCTAGTCCAAAATGAACAGCAATTTGCAGGTAATATTGGACAGGGAAAACTTGGCGAAACTATATGAATTTTACAACAAGCAGCATATCCAATCAATATGTCCCGGTTTATATATGCAACATAATCAACGTACTCCACAAGTACCCAATGTACAACGAATGACTCGGTGACGCGCAACACCCAATGTACTTACTGGCAATGGTCTCTACATTTTATCTTTGTTAGCCGCCTACTTGAAGAAGCGTAGCAGCTGCAACGTGAGATATTTGAAGAGACAGCAGCTTGTGTATAAGTGGAAAGGCGATCACGCAGCAATCATGTCTGCTTTATAAGGGTTTATTTCATGCAGGCAGCAAACATACAGCAGTCTTCTCTACAGTTATTAGGACATGAGCGATCGCACTGACGTGACGTACCGGTTTTTATATGCAGTTCATGTGCGCTGTAAACACCTGCATTTCACTACAGCCTTTCATGATGCTGACGCGTTATACTGATGGGATCTGACGTGTTACTGGTGAAGGCCTGACGCGTTGCTGACGCGGAGCTGACGCTTTACGGCGAGGGCCTGATGCGTTGCTGACGCGGATCTAATTCGGGAAGACAGCCCACAACTCAGCATTGTTGAATGTAAAGCACAAACACTTTGCTAGAATAGCTATCTTCTATGAAGTACGAAAGAAAATGAAAAAGAAAGAGAATTCATCAGAAGATGTAATCTAGGTTGGCGTATTCGATCGTCTCTGGCCAATGGATACTGCCTGGCCAATTCGATTCTGTCGTTTGCCACCGTAGGATCTGCTTGGAGATTACAGAGGACCCAGGTTATTTGGGTGTCTGGTCCGATCGATCACTTGGTGTATGTGTACATTTGAGGAAGGAGCAGGGCAGAAGTTTGTTTTAATATGTCCCTATCGCGGAACTGCCAGCGGATTATTATTTGCAAGTATTCCAGCTCTACACACGGTCGGTCCCCACACGGTGCTCTGCAGCCGTAGCCCGACGCGATTGATCGATGCAGGAGCGAGAACAGGAATATTCCATCTGCTCGCGCAAGCGGGGATAATCCCCCGTAGCTAGTTTCTTACTTCATTAGCGGTTTTTAATCAGGCAGATTCCGGCCGTGACGTCAATGAGAATCTACGTCGTCTCCATGGAGTTCATTATCTAGTCCTGACGTAATTGTGACGTGTGAGCGAGTGACGTGGTTCTTCTGATCCTTGCTTTAAGATGAAAATTTAAGTATCTGAAAAATGCAAAAGTAGTAACCGCCGTTTAAAATCTTCGTTCCCTTATCTACCCATGTTACCCGTGCCGTCAGGAAATGTACAAACTCTAGCTCTCCCAGTCTTGTAGCTCCGGTAGTAGGAAGCTGTGGCCGATATAGTTAGTAACAGAGCCTAGGTTATAGCCGCACCTGCGTAAAACCAGCAACACTGACAAATGGCCGAAAGATAACGACATCAGTTGATGCCCTTTCAGGATGACGACATTCTGTAGTATAATTACTGATGACATTCTGCTAGTACGATGTTTTTCCACGGCACTGCGGATCAGGCTTGCATGAAGGCTGCACACGCATTCATAAGGACCCTTTTCATAGCCCGCTGCACTGGGCACAGCATCAGTGCTGGTTTAGTGTGTATAATGTGAGCTAGTTACGCACCAAAGTACCAGGAAAGGGAACTCACCTAACGGAGCGATCCGGCAGAATAGGACCAGGACGCAGCGAAGCCCCACAGAACCTCGGCTTGCCATGTTTCCCCGGCCTAACCACAGCCGATTCACGGTGCTCTGTTGGCTGTCTGTCCGCTGCCTATCCACCCACTGTCGGTTCTCTGTCTGCTCTCTGTCCGTTTTCTCTCGGCTCTCTGTCTGCTGTCTGCTCTCTGTCTGCTCTCTGTCCGCTTTCTGTCGGTTCTTTGCTCTCTGTCTGCTCTCTGTCCGCTCTCTGTCTGCTCTCTGTCCGCTCTCTGTCGGCTCTCTGTGCTGTTTGGTTTGCAAACGTCGCACGTGAGCTAGCGCTGGCAGGAACACAACCTGTTAGCGCCCGGCAGCGCCCGGACCGAAGTGTGGATGTTTTATGTAGCTCCGGTAGTAGGAAGCTGTGGCCAATAGAAATACACAGCTCAGGTACGGAATGCCTGTCAGCGCCCGGCAGCCCGGACTGAAGTGGTGATGTTTTATGAAGCTACAAAGGCGCTGCGGCAGGACCAAACGCCGGCGGCTGTCTCACGGGCCTCGGGCCACAGCAAATTAGTTTACGCCGCTGCCTGACAGTGCAACATCGGCCCAGAAAAACCTGCACGTTTCACGTAAAACCAGCCCAGAAAATTCGCACATTTGAACAGAATTTACCGCCGTTTCCCGTCCTGACATTCCCCGCCCTTCACGGTGGTTTCTCGCATCTTAACTCCAAATTAACTTTTCTTCCCGAACGTGCGTTCCGCACATGCCGGAGTTATTACCTTCTCCGCACATGATGATGGATATGTGGTATGGAAACCATCCATATCCCGCCTGTAATACATGGGGAGGGCGGCGCGGCACGGGGATTGGAGGCAGGGAAATTATAGCCCATCAATCAGCGGGAAATACACGAGCTCGGATCCGGAATGCCGTAAATATGGCTTCGGGGGACTGGTGACGTTACATAGACATAACTGTCTTTCATAGCAAAGTCAGTATGCCTTGGCTGCCATTCAGAGGGGGGGGGGAGGTTC